CTCCTCCTCCTCCTCCTCCTCCTCCTCCTCCCCACAGGCCCCATTCCCTTCTAGCACTGATAATGTTACCTAGTTGGGTCATGAAACGTCTGCTAGAAAACCACCAAGCTCAGAGACCACCAGGGACCCCACAGTTCAACCCTGAGCTTCTTCAAATATTCTGTCGCTCTGTTACTAATTTAGTCTCTTTTTAAGATTTTTCTGCATGCAAAAGAGATCTTTTTTGCGGATGCACCAAGGCAGGAAGGTCCAACCTTGATGATTTTTAAGACCCGTGGATTTCAACACCCAGAATTCCCTAGCCAGCACAGCTGGCTAGGGAATTCTGGGAGTTGAAGTCCACGGGTTTTCAAGTTGCCAAAGTTGGACACAGCTGCGCTAAGAAAAGTTGGTAAGTGTCACAGGAAGGCCAGATAATTTCAAGAAGCCCTTTTTGACCCAATTTGGGTCGTATTCGGTTAAACCCGCCTCGCGAAGGGACTAGCCCTCAATTTATCTGCTCGGAGAAATGCACTGAACGAGGAAATGGGCCTCAGAGAAGGCAATCATTTAAAACGGGGGCGTTTACGTATCTTAGAGAGGACTATGCAAAACAAGGAGAATTTGGGACAATAGCAGGCTCCAAAGGCAGGAGTAAAATCTGCCACCGGTTCCTCAAAAGGTGCAAAGCACCCAAGGAGGATCAGTTGTCACCAGAAAGTCCATCCAACATACTATAAGCCAGCTGAGAGTTTTGGCGACATTTCGACGAGGTCCCACTCGTCATCTTCGGCGTCTTGGGGTCTTCGGCTTCGTGCTTGTGCGAGCCAAGTGTGATCGGAGCTGCCGTCTCTCTATAAATATTGGTGGGGGTGTGTGGAGTGCTGGCTTTGTTGCTGTAGTTGGGCTGGTTGGCTGTGTTGGAGTTATTGTTTGCGGATTGTTCGACTGTTTCGTAACATCCTGAGTAGCTGAGGTGCTGGCTGTGTGCCCATTGGGATGTCATCACACAGCCCATTACCCAGGTCGTTACAACACAAAAGACTAATGGGCACACAGCCAGCACCTCAGCTACTCAGGATGTTACGAAACAGCCGAACAATCCGCAAACAATAACTCCAACACAGCCAACCAACCCACCTACAGCAACAAAGCCAGCACTCCACACCCCCCCACCAATATTTACAGAGAGACGGCAACTCCGATCACACTTGGCTCGCACAAGCACGAAGCCGAAGACCCCAGCCTGAAGATGACGAGTGGGACCTCGTCGAAACGTCGCCAAGATACTCTCAATCTTACACATACTCCACAGGTAAGAATACTAAAAAAACTGTGGAAGCGTCAAGATACGGGGAAAATGCAACTTGCAAAGGAAGTTTTTGATCTCCCAAGCGGGTGCGTTTCTCGTGAAATACTCAGACTGAGGTGCTGGGAAACCCAGAACAGGGTTCAAAACCCAGTTAGAGAAGCCCGGCACCGTTCAGGAAATCACGGGGCTGTTTGCAGAAGAGCTGGCAAAGGAAATGCAACAAGACTTTGGGCTATTTTGCAGGAAAGTAAGATCTGTTGCTTAGGGGGAAAAAAGGGCGCTTAAGATTCTGAAAAGCTCGGTTCTTGCAAAGCTGTCGGGGTCTGCTTTTGGGGTTGTTGTTTTGGTTTTTTTGCTATCCTTGCATCCCGGCCTGGCTTCTCTCTTTGTCCTGACTAAGCCTGGATGGGGAGGAAGCAGCTGGTTGTTCTCCCTGGTAGTACCAGACCGGCACCCCGGGGACCATTTAAGCTAGCTCCTTACGAAGGCCCACTCCACCTGCTCTTAAACTGCAATAAACAGTGGACTTTTAAGAAGAAATGTAGCCTGCTTACAAACGAGCTACAAATAAATTCCCTTTTCGGGTGGCTTTTGCAGAACGGCAAGGCCTAAATTATGACCTTCCCAGGCCTTTCAGTCTGGGACTGGAGTGTGTGTGTGTGGGGGGGGTTGTCCTCTTGCTCTTGATGTCCACGAGTGTTGAAACATAAGGAGCGAGCACCACCAGGAAAGCCTCAAGCAAGGGAGAAACCGTAACAAGGAAGCAGATTGCAAGCTGAACTGGTGTGTGTGTGTGTCCTCTTGCTCTTGATAAGGAGCGAGCACCACCAGGGAAGCCTCAAGCAAAGGAGAAACTAACAAGGAA